CTTAAAGAACGAGCTTCACAATGGCTATGCGAGTTCCAGAGATCTGTAATAGTGCTTTTACTAAAGCGAAATAATTTCTTCAATAATGTTACTTTTTAATTTGCTCCTAGGTTTACGCTTGGGAAATTGCCGACAAGCTCTTGTATATGAAAAGAAATCTGAGTTCGTGTTATTTTGGCGCTCATACAATTCGTGTCAAAGTATTTATTATATTAATTTTCAATACATAGATCCAATGCTATTTCACAGAGTTACCTGCTTCCTCTCACGAGGCCTTAAAAGATTCTCTGCTGGAGCACGTTCGGGAAATGTCAGAAGAAACTCAGCTTCCCATAGCCAATCAATTGTGCTTAGCTGTCGCAGATCTCTTCTGTCACATGGTTCAATGGAGCAACGGGATTTCTAACATTATTAATAGGTAATCTTATTTGTATTAATATATTTGACAGACTTTCTGGTTCCGCAGTTACGAGCAATTTTCTTGTTGATATTCTAAGATTCATTCCGGAGGAGGTGATTTTTTTTAAACAAATGATCTTTTAGATGCACAGCAATAAGCTTAGACTAGGTCTTAACAGAAGACATGCACTTTTAGCTGAATTTGAATCAAGCAAGGAGCTAATTATTAAATTTTTGGTGCGTATGCGATTTTTCAAGCTTTAATTTGACCTGTTTAAAAATATCTCTTGAGCTCCCCTAAAATCTGACGCTGTTCCTTCTAGTCATACAAAGTTGCATCTGCTTCCGAATCTGAATTGGCTCGAATATTTAACTGCCTAGCCAGTTGGCTTGATAATTCATGTGTGCTCACAGAGAACGATGTTTCCGTCAGTCCACTCTTAGAAGCAGCTTTCTTCTTACTTCGTAACCCTATGAATACATCTGAATCGGCTTATGAATCTGCCACTCAATTCGTTCTTGCACTCCTCTATCAAGGACGCGTAAGTTCATTTTTATTTATAGGTGCTTTCTTTCTTTTTTGATTTTTTTTCTTTAATATTTAGAAATTTGATGCTGAGGGCAGTAAACTTATTTCATGGCTTCAGTCCAACGTTTATCAATTGACTGAGGTTCTCGTCCGTTGTGCAAATGCCATGGCCGCTAGCCACTCTGTTTCTGGCTTAGGTAGACAAGAGCATGAACAACAGGTATACTTAGCTCATTTTTAACCCTATTCTTGTGTTCATTTTTATTGCTTTTTCATCTAATTATTAAGGCTATTCACAGGCTTCTTCAAAATATGTTGTCTTGTTTTATTAGTATTATCGTTTGCTTAACCTCACAGTAGATGCTATCATATTTTTTTACTTATAATTGTCTATATTTTCCAAAACTTTACTTTATTTTAGGTATCCAAGTTATCGGATCCATGTTCCTGTATTGCCCAAATAATTGATGAGTTGTCTCGTGCACTAAAACGCCACATAGTCGGCAAGCCATCTCCTGTTGGTTCAGGAGCTTTGGGAGATCTTCGATCAATGGAATCACTGATCACTGTTCTTGAACTTCCTGCTCCCATCGGCACTCGTGAACTTATAGTCAATGTTTTTTCTAGTCTTCAGAATATTGCTGATGATGCAATCAAGGTACCGGCTTGATTAAGTAGATGTTTCGTTTTGAAAGGACAATCCAGTAATTCATTATTTTTTAAAATACGATCATTTACTATTTACCTTTCTATAGCATCGCTCACATTTGACCAATCACATGCGGTCCCCGACATCGATTGCTGCTGTAGAGGATATCAACTCCCCAAGGCCTGTCACTAGCCTCTTGAGCTACTTCACTCGGGCTGTGGTGGCTGTTATGCGGCACTGTGCCACTGATCCGGATACTATTACCGACCTTGAATCAACTGAGGAGCTGCGCCAGTTTCGTGGAGATGTACATTATTTCATGCAGGATATTCTCAGTCTTGTTGGTGCGGACGCAATTTTCGTGCAAGTGAGTTAACCTACCTCTCTGACCTTGCCGCTGTATTTCAGTCATTCTAAAATAATGTGTTTTTTATTTATTTATCTTGAACTAATAATTTAGTATTGTTTTATTATTTGACTATTCTACTTTTTTCATTCGTGTTAACCATTGATTTAAATTATTCTTCTCACGGCTTTAATATTTTATCCATATCTGCTGTGGTACTTGTAATCAGGGAAAATTAACAGTGTGTTGTAGTAAAAATATCAATCATTTCTGACTTCTTTCATCTAATAATTTGTTGCATATCTTAGTCATCCTTTGTAATAGGGTTTCAATTGTTAAGTAATCTTTTGTAAGATTTATTGAATACACTTACTTTCATAGAAGGAATTTTTAGCTGTGACCTGATAACTATAGCTTTTCGAGGCCCCTCTGTAAATATTATAATAAGAAGGAGAAGAAGCTCGAATTCAGTTAAGATTTAACCCTAACAAGATTACCCATCAGAATCGCGTGATTAGTACGCCTATTTAGTTCTTAATATTTTCGGAATAACTGAATCATTTCCAATAGGATAGCTTCATGTACTAACCACTTTCTTTCGTAATACACATATCAAATTAGATTGTCGTCATCACTGAATCCTATGTGATGATTGGATTCCTATTTCTGACTTTACATTCATTCTACCTCTGCTCTCCTATTTTTTAAGATTTACATTTATTTATGTAGATATCTCAAGCATAACTTTCATTTAATATCTAATTTTCAATCCTACACTTATTAAAAAAAGTCCCTTAAATTTATTTAGCGTGTAT